AAATGTGAAATGTGGGACCTGCCTCTCAAATAATGTCATTATTAATAATAATTAATAAATACACGATAAAATAGTAGTGTGTCACAAAAAAATGTTAAAAGATACACAAAAATACTCAATGCAGAAGCCCATGATAATCGTACTGTATCCCCAAATTTAGTTTCATGATATATCAATGTTTCAGTATTTTTGTATTTTTACTAAATTATGTTAAAACTAGAATTGAAGCTCGATCCTCATTTGGACTATTCATACTGATAACAAATAGTACACAATAGTAATAAAGCTAAATGTTAAGGGAAAAATATATCTTAAAATGCAATAAAAAATACTTTTACCTTTCAGTCCAGTTCAAGGATGTAGTGATGTGAAAGTACAGATACTTGCTCTCAAAGGTAATGAAGTAAAAGTAAAAAGTATCCAGCTTAAATGTACAGTAAAATACAGATACCAAAAATTTAAGTACAGTACTTTATTACATTCCACCACTGCACATGTACACATCCCGTATATCCGCCACAGATGTAGTACCAGCAATCAGTATCAGTCTTATTTTTTAACTAACTACTGCAACTCACTCCAACTCCCAACATAATTCATATGCATACATCGAGTCGTGCCAAGAGCGCCTTCATTTGTGATTACGCGTGTGGAGTGACACTTGATTAGCTCTAGCCACAAGATCAGACTTTGTTGAGAGACTGACACCGAAGATCCAAGAGCTCGCACATAATCAGACTTTCCATTTTTGCATGCAGCGGATCATTCCCACCGCTAAATCTTCCCATTCTCTGCGATGCCACTCAGAGCTCGTTCGGGATGCACAAACACAGACTAGAGATGAAGTCATTTGGAAGCAGATTGGAAAGGAGAGAGCTGGCAGTGTTGGGAGTGGATGTTGGTGATAGTAAGAATGTGCTCGTATTGTCAGGGTAGGACAATTTCAGACTTGATTCGTGACTAAGGAATAGACCCAATACTCAATACTGATTCTGGCACCACCATAATAATATTTTTTTTTTAAAGTATTGTAGACCAAACATGTCAAACTCAGGCTCGGGGGCTAAATTTGGCCCGGGATATAATTATATTTGGCCCACAAGATCATATCAAATACGTATTAGAGCTGGCCCACTGGCTATAGAGACATGATTTATTTTAAATTTTGTTACTATTTTACATTATGCTTGTTCTGGATTCAATGTTTAAGCAAAACTATTATTAAACATTTATTTTCTATATACATACATATACATTTATATAAGAAAAGGTTTAAGATTACTTATCTCAAAAGAAGAGAAAGCATGCAGATGTTGTTGAAATTTTTCAATAAATATTTAGTTTGGCCCATGACTTAGTCCACCCCTGCTTTAGACAAAAACGTGTGATTTTCAACATTAACTCATAGTAGTTCACTGAGGTTTATTTGGTCTTTTGATATTTTGTGTTATTAGGTTCTTTTTTCAGACCAAGAATTTTGTTTGAGTTTCGACTGCTCACTAACGGTCTTCCTCAGAGTGGTCACGTGATGTTCCTGTGACGTGTCCAGTCACCTGATTTTTACAGGTTTTGGTGCTTTCTTCCCACCGGTAGAGGCAGGATGACAGCGCCATCTGCAGTCTGACTTCCTCAGGACAGTATTCCAGGTGTGTGAGAGTAAAAAAGCCCCTTTGACCCGGTTTATAGTCCCATGGGCATGTTTCCGTATTTTGATTGGCTCTTTAATCCAGCGGCGATGTTTGTTTTCCTCTGTCCCAGTGATGTTTGCTCCGTCCCAGTCCATAATAAGGTCAGGGATGGCTGATTTGTGTTGTTCCTGTTCCGCTTTGTGTTTTGTCGCTCGTGCGCACGCCTTCGCTGTTTCCTTCTCGCATTCTGTTTTATGTTCCTTTATTCGTGTACTGAATACCCTCCCTGTTTCCTTGATGTATGTTTTATTGCAGGACATGCAGGGTATTCCGTATAACTCATAGCACTTTCTTTTATATTACCATGCTGCCTTATAACTGTGAAATCCCTCAGTCCCATAATGCTCTTCTGCTCTAAAGCTATTCAGGAAAGGTTAATTTCTGTCCTGTGAATGTGACTTTGTTAGTATCAATACCTGCTCAAATGGGAATAAAATGTTTTGTACTGATTAGTATTTTTATATGGAAACATGATGAAACATTTGTATTTTTTTTTCTTACTTAAGAAATCTACAGAAGAAGTTTCAAATGATTCACGTGCAGTGTTTTAACTTCTTGCTTTTAATTGTCAATTTTAAAGCGTATATGACAGATTTTTATGATTCTCTAATCTAATTTTGATTTAATTTGGTGGGATTATAACTATCGTAAAAATATAAATGATACGTTTTACACCAATTAAGAAGAAACGGATGTGGAAAAGTTGAAAAATATGTTGAAACACATTGATGACATCATGCTAGAGAGATTTCTATCCAAAGGTTTGGCACAATTTACATGTAAGAAAAACTATTCTATTTATTTCAACAAAATAAAGGTGTTTTTCTTGTATTTGTATTTGTCAAATTATAGTTTCTGTGTTCATTAGAGGAGATTTGCTAAGTAACAGTTATAGTGTGACGTCACTATTTCCAATTTTAAACATGAAAACTGTCCAAACTGGGGAAAATGAGTTGAAATGTTTTAGCAAAATGTGTTTGAGTGAAATTAGTAGACTAAACTGTCACGGGCGCTCCAAGCAATTACGATTATATAGTGACCTTAAAAATCACAATGATCACTTATTACGTTAATGTCTACTCCAAGAAAATGTGGATTTCAGTATTTTGGCATATGGCCCATCCCTATACTCAAACCAGAGAGCTTGAGAGTGGCAAAGTGCTGCAGGGCCCGGGGGGAAATCGGCTACAAGGCTAAAAACACAGGCGCCCACTGAGCTACTCTTACAAAGGGAATAAACAGGAGCGCACTCAAGCACGCAGAACTAAAAACAAACACAGCGCTATACCAAAATAAACAAGACTGGCGCAGGATGGAAGGGCGAATGTGGATGTATACAGAGCAGAGCCAAAGCAAAGCATGGGAAAAGCAACGCAGTCTCCCACATGTGAAGAGCGGGATGTTTACGGAAGCCACAGACAGGAGCAAAGGGAGATGATCTACAGTATTAAGTCTTGCCAGTTTTAGTCGACTAAAACGGAGGTGTGGCAAAAGATCTCAAACTGTTTATTATCTCTACGATCTCAAGATGGAACTGCAACTACGTGAGTTCATGCAAACTAGCACAATTCATGACCAAATCTTCAGATCATCCTCCTTCCAACTGTTGGTAAATGGTCTTATTTTATACAACGCTTTTCCACCTTCAAGACACTCAAAGACCTTTTCATCAAGGAACCACTCACCCATTCACACACACACATTCATACACCAGTGTACGCAGATACTAGCCTAAGGACACAACAACAGCATTCATGTGTGGAAGCTGGAATCGCATCGCCAATCTGACCGATCAACCGACGATGAATAACAAATAAATAAATTCCCATAAAGTAAATAAATTGTAAATAGTTCATATAGTTTAATGTAAAATGTCTGAAAATTTCAAAATAAAGCTCATTGTGTTAGATCAGAAGAGGGGGGAGGGATTAAATACATTTTCTTCTTCCCACTCCTTTTTGGGCCATTTTTTTAATTTTTTGTTGTTGTTATTTCTGCTATGATTTCATTAATGCTGTATGTTCGATTGTAAGAGAATGTATATTTCTTACTTGCCGAAAATAATTACATAAATCGGTCAATCGAGATGTTTATGTCGAGAGTGGGATTCGAAGAGCCAACCTTTGAATCAGCGGACAAAAGCTCTACCAAGTGAGCTACTGTCACCCTCTGTTGTACATATAATTACAATTAAATTACAAATAATGACATATAACTAACAAAATTTAAATGTATAGTGGTTTAAGACAAATTAAAAGTACTTCAGTCAGACTACAGTCGTCTGCATTGTGTACATCTGTATTCAAGTGGACTTTTAAATGACAGGGCTAATACTAGTAGCATGTTTGTAATTTGTAAAAGATACTACTACTACTACTCAACAAAATCAGGTTAAATCACTCTGGAAGGTAGAGTAGTGCTGTGGCGTGTTACTGGTGAACATTTCGAAGGCTTTTTACTTCTTGGAGTAGGTTTTAGAATGATAACAAATGAGGATCGTTGGGAACAATTGACACATAAAACCAAAAGAGTAAACATTGGAATGAGCACCAGTCGTCAAAATGAACAAACCCATGAACACAGTAGAAACAGGAATTTAAACTACTTTCACGTGCAAACATTAGAACATGGAGGTAAGTTTGTTATTTTTTTGATAATTATTTATAATAACAAATTATCACTACATACCTGAAAAAAGTGTATATGTATTTTAAATAATGCAATTCAAAATGCTTGTATAGTAAAATATGCCTAGTGTAGTGTTTTGAAAATAAAATCAAGACTTGGATTGGTATTGAGTATGTTCATCTACTACTAGACAATTCTATAAGTCGATGTGAAATGAGTTTTTACTCTGATGGATAAAATAATACAAATTCCAAGATAGAAAATGTTTTTGATCGGCTACTGTACTCAGATGTAGGTGTTGAAATGTGCACTGTGTAACATTTCTAGTGCTGGCTGCTAGTCATTTGTCTCCGAGGAGGTGTTGCTGCTTTACCTACAATTTTCCAACATATAGCATGAAACTTTCCAATCTTCCATAGAAACGAGCAGGAGGTGCCGCAAAGCCAATTTACAGGTGAGATCTACGAAGAGGTGACTCCACTCATAGTAAGAATGCATGTCTTTAAAGGTAAAAACACCCATAATCGAATAAATTCATCTTGTATAAGTGTAATATATATTGTGGAGCATTACAGGCAAAGAAATAACATCTCCAGTCTGAAAAGTTACGCAGTGCACCTTTGAGTCGAATAGAAGCTCCGCATGCTGCACATATCAAACTAAGAAATAAAGAAAACATCTTACCGTGACACAGTCCATTGATCTCCTCGAATCCCGGCTTGCACACGCACTTCCCGATGGGCACTAGCCACTCCCCCTCCGTGCTGCAATGCATTCTGGGAGGCTCGTACAGCGGCAGCGAGTTATTCACACAGCGCCCCACCACCTCCACCAGCTGCGATGCCTCCGAGCCAGGAATGGTGTCCGGAAACTCCGCCAGACTTTTCACCAAAAACGGACATCTCTTGTAAAACACCCTCACCGACACCAGCGCTATGCATGCTCCCAAATCCTGGAACGCGAGGTAGAAGCCCTTCTTTGTCAGCGGACCAAGATCTCGAACTTCCGTGTTCAGTTTCATCACGCGATCGCCAAGGTCTAGCTCGGTGAAGCTCTCATCAGCCGCTATGGTGTCAATCTTGATATACCGGCTTTCCTTTAGACCCCAATCCTCTTCGTCCGTTATCCCGACCCCGTCTCGTAATGTCCCTTCCTCTTCGTCATCGTCGCCGTTGGTTTCGTAGTAGTACATGTTGAAAGTTTCCTTGCAGGTACCGACGCCGCCCGGTAAGCTGTTGCAGTCTCTCAGGGTGAATTTGAGCTCGATGAAGACTCTCTGGGCGCCTTCGGTCAGGATCCAGTTGGTGTGGAGCCAGTTGTTTTGGTTCTGCTCCATGACGCGGCAGACCTGGTACGTGTGGATGGGAGCGTAGTCCTCGTCCACCTCTCCGATCTCCTCCCACTGCAGAAGAGAAAAAGACAATAGTTACAAGTGAGGTTAAAGAACTAATATGCATTCTTTTGGCTTTAATTCCCCCTTAAATGTGCTTCTGGACACCTTGGGATAAGTCTTTCACATTTTCTAATAGTGCATGTGTTTGTAAAATACACCTTAATTTACAATGCAGTACTTAGGCGCTGGGGCTCCCTCTGTCCCTGCTGTCAGCAATGGGAATGAACAATGGGAAACTAAACAATTGAAGCCCTTATCCCTTGTGGATGCTATGCTAATGAAGCTACGATTAATTAAAGTGGAACTAAACATTACTAGTGAATCAACTTTTTTGCTACTTAAAAGGGCCCATATTTTGTTATTTGAGTTGTGTTTTGGTTCATTCACACACGTTTAACTCACACATTCTGCATATTTAGGTTGTGTTCTTCTATCAAACAGAAAACACTGTTCCACCTTGTGATGTCATGGTAATACTGGAAATGCTCAACTGTGTTTTTAAACTCCATAGAACAGGGGTCTCCAACCTTTTTTTCTCCAGTGAGCAACCTTTACAAAACAAAAATACCAGAGAGCTTTCAATTTCAGTAGTTGCAAAGAAACTGAGTAAACATAAGAGCCACGGCAAGCCTTAGATGGGGAACAGTTAGATGCTTATAAAACATAAACCATTATCCATGTATTGGTGTACCAAATATTTACACTGGCAATTCATCAAATTTGACTTATTATTCGCAATACATAGAATTCAGAAATCACTTGGCAAGCTATTTGGATTGGTTGGAGACCCTTGCCATACACCATCACTGGCAAGTACTGCTTTATGATATCACAAGTTGAAACAGAACATTTTGAGCTTTGGAGGTAAGATTAAGAATAAAGGGTTACTCAAACAAGTAAGAATGATGAGGTAAGTGAAAAATCCTTTAGTCGTCCACGTAGAATCCATGGCAAAGGAGAAATTCAATTTGTCAACTGGACAAAGTGTATTTGGTTGAATATGTTTCGCATCTCATCCAGTTCAGAACCTCAGAGCTGAAGAAGCAGCTTGGATGAGCTGCAAAATGTATTCGACCAAAGAAACGTTGTCCAGTTGACAAAGTGAATTTCTCCTTTGCCAATGATGAGGTAACAGCATTATAACATATCTTAAAGAGTAACTTTCGCGTAATGAATGAGCTTTAACTAACTGAATTCAGTTCCAAGTCTATATTTGCAGCTTTGTCATCAAAAACATTGGTGTGTCCTGTATCCAGTGGCCACTGCAATTTCAGGTATTACATGTCATCACTCACTGCCCCGATTACAGCCACATGTTTCTGCTTACCTGGCTTTGAGTTTGAAGTATGGACACATGTTAGACCAATCACACTCTTCCTCAGATGTTCAGACCCTGCCCCTCCTCCCCCCTCATTTTCTTCTTTAGTCCTTCAGGTCCTACCCAATAGGCTCTATTCACACTTACGTCACAAACCAGGAAGACGTTTGGAAACAACAATGACAACTTCCGATGGGCTCTGTTCGCAGTAGTAAGTCTGACAAAATCTAAGAAAAATTTGAAATTTGCTCAGTTTTCTTCCCCTACATGTCATTGTAGCGTTCCGTTATGTTTGGCTAATCAACAATTACAACCATACCTCCGTTTTCATAATTTCCCCAGAGACACACAACTCCAAGCGAACTGGGTACATGCGATTACAAAAGATGAAGATGCCAAATTCAAAATGATTCCAAACAGCACATGCATAGGCTGTCTTTATTTTACTGCTCATCACATTTACTTCGGGTTTTCTCACACTTGGTAGACAAGCCCAGTGTCGGAAACAACACTAGAAGTTGTCATCGCATGTTTCAGCTCTATCTGAAATGTAGTTTTGGGTGAAGTTAAGGTGTTTCGTCTCAATATTTGTTAAACATTTGTAAAACGGCACAGTATGATTAGTCTGTGATTTGTTCATTCCTAAAACATTTGGGCAACAATTAATTTTCATCACGATCACATTAAAATGGATCAAACTTCTCAGGTTTTCTTGCATACCGCAGCTTTTGTGTTCTATCTGCCAGCAAATCATCACACCACCCATAACACCCTTCTCTATAAGGAGGAGTAAGACGCGTGGAAATCTGGTGAGAATGAGCTCCGGCGAGGCATTTTAGACGGCTTAACACTGGCACGGAAACTATGAAAGGTGCCTGTGCGTGTGTGAGGATACAGATAGCAGTATAATCCCCTTCACTTGTACTTTATTTCCTCCTACCACAACAGGCACAAAAGGAACGCCAAATTGTTAAACGCTGTATTCGCATTTAGTGTCAGTGGGGGGTGGTGTACCTGTCTGAGGAAGAAAAGGATTATTGTGCCGTTGTGGGTATTATCAGTAAACGTCACCATAACACAACTAAAATAAATGGCCATCTTTTTTTTTGTCTGTGCATATCATAGAATATATTTATAGAAATGGGTTGAAGTATGGTGGTAGACTAATGCAGCTCAGCAAGCCTAGTATTTATAGTGGCTAATTTGCAACCAAGTTCAATATTTGAAATTCCACATGGGCAATAGACCATTGTCACAATGGCCAGAAGTGCTGCAATGTAGGGTAAATGTCACGTCTGGTTAGGGTGATCATTCATCTGGATTTTGGCCGGACAGTCCGGTTTTAGAGCCTTCTGTCCAGACTTCTGTTATGCATCCTCATTTTTGACATTTTGTCCTCATTTCCAACCCTCGACCGACACTGTTGCGCTCATCCTTACAATCCCCTGCCCACATTACACCTGCGATGCTGCAATAGCAGTGTCTGAAACTGTTTGCTGTTGAACAAAAGTAAATGCCAAAAAGGAAGACACCCTTCAAACATGCTTGGTGCTCACAGCATCATTTTGCCAGCAAGAACACCAAAGGAGAATACTATTTCTTCTGTAAACTCTGCTGTATTGACATTGATGTGAGTAGGTAAGATGGTAAAGATGCGTCAGAGTGACACGCAGACACAGAACGGCACAAGGAGAACACAAGCAGTGCTTTACCGTCTTTTTTTTTTGCCTGTCTTTATCGTCTTTTTTGGCCCCAACAACAACCAACCAACATAAGTTGTCTTCATCACCCCCCTGGTAGTGTCCTCACTTTTGGGCCAAAGTGTCCTAACTTTCAGAGTCATGCCGGTGGTCCCCTACATCTGGCTAATGCTTTTCTATGGCAAAATATCAGTGGAAATGTCTCGCATATTTTCCACCAGCTTCACAGATCTGCCCCATCACCACCATCACATTTGTCAATGAAGAATTTATCCACAACTGTCAAGGTAAGAAGGACGAAAACTTAAAGGCGAACAACGACGAGCATCTATTCTTGAGCAAAAATAACGATATTGTCATGAATAAAACATAAATAATAATAAATTTATCAAGAAGTAACTTGTTAAATAAATTTCATGATGTTCACAGATTACATGTCTAGTAGGGATGTAACGATATCCAAATCTCATGGTATAATATTTTCACGATATACATCACACAGTTCGGTATTTATTGCGATGTTATGGAGGCAAACACAATTGTGAATATGCTACTTTTTCCTCTTAAAATGCCTTGACAAGACGTAATTCAAAGAACTAAGATTTAAAAGTGCTTAGAACTGTTATTTCTTCATGTAGTTTGCACCAAAACGGAGCAAAGGATCATGGTCAGTGTAGTTCCCTCTGTATTTTTTAGCTATTGCTGCACCATAACAATGAATTTAAGCAAAGAAACTGTGATTCGATATATTGTGATGGCCCACAGACGTTTGGCGTTACGATATCACGATATTTTGGTTATTGTTACACCCCAAATGTCTAGCATTTAAACTGCACATATCTCTCTGTGTTTGCTAATATGTTACATCATGAAATTGATTTTTAATTTTAATTCTAAAATTAGTCTGAGTGAACAAGTTACTTGATTTACTATGTTTTTTTCATGACCATAATATTAGTTTTTCTCAGGAGTTCACTAATGCTAGTCATTGTTCGCCTTTAAGCTTTCGTCTTTCTTACCTTGATAGTTGTGGATAAATTCTTCATGGACAGAATATATTCTTTGTCGACCTTGTTAGATGAAGATTTGGTGATGGTTAGGTAGATATGTGAAGCTGGTGGAAAATAAGCGAGACATTTCCACAGATATTTTACCACAGAAAAGCATTAACTGGAAGTGTTTACCCTACATCATAGCACTTACAGCCATTGTGAAAAAGGTCTGTCAGGGGCGTTGCTGAAGGTAGCAATAAGGCACGACAGCTGTCAATCACACCTAGTGGTAGATGACCTCGGGGAACAAAGGCACCTGCTTGGTCTGTTATTATTGGTCATATCTTGATTTATGGACAGAATAGAAAAAATAAAACCAGCAGGATGATGTAGAGCGAGTAAAAAGAGAGAGGCTCAGATTTTTCTGTAGTCAACTCGGATGGAATCACTTAGTGCTCATGCAGCCTCTTTATCTGGAACACAGCAGCTAGCAGGTTAGTTCTGTCCATACTCTATACATAGCTTCTATAATGCGTCTATGTAAATGATGCAGCCAGGCTTGTGCTAGTGTGTTCCAGTGGTTGTGTGTGAGTTAGACAGCAGCATTAATTCCCTCCGCAAGTCTCCCGGGATGTGGCTATTATCTGCATCACTAGCACTCTCCCATGGCTAATACAGGCGCTTCATCATGTCACCCTAATATGGCCACAGGGAGCAGACTATGATCTGGTGTTATAGCTTAATAGCCCATATTAATCAATCCTCGCCGTGGCCGTTGTGCACGAGCTTTTGTCTTAGTCTTCTCGTCTTGTTCCCCATCTGTTTTTTTTTTTTTTTTTTTCCCGCTCTGCCCCCTCTCCACTCGTTTGTCTCCGAATTAGTTGGATTCTTTTGTTTTTGGGTTATCTCAACGGTTTGAGTGTGCTTAGGAATCAAAGAGCTCCTCTGCTTTGTCGACGGTTAATTTGTAGTTTATGTCAGCAAGTCAGACGGTTTTGT